CCAGCTGCTTCCGTTTCCCAGCAACTCCCTCCAAATAAAGACCTAGTTCTTTGAGTCCATAGGATGGAATCAAGACTTATGTTTCAGTGATTTTGTAAAATAATGTTGAATTATTATTATTCAAGTCTTGAAAATTATTCGGTGAGACTGGTTCTAGAAAAGTTCCAGACAACGCACCCGTTTCTGGTACGGCTGGCAGATTCAGTATCTCCCTCATGCTCTGATCAATTGCAGAATTGTCAACATTTGCTCCCAAATTATTATTCAATCTGCCCCCTCTCTCCTCCTCTGCTGAGGTGCGAGCCACCAGCCCACCCACCCTACTGAAGCACTGGTCGCCTGACAAGCACCTCTGAGCTCCCTGGTGGTCAGTGCACATGGTTGTTCCGTCATTCAGTCTATTTACATATTAGCCTTTTATTATATAGGATTATTATATAGGACTAGAGGCCCAATGCACGAAATTTGTGGCCCTGGCAGTGACTGCACTTGCTTCGTCCAGAAGGTCATCCGGAAGGTCGTTCTGCTATTTGGCCATCTGGTCTAATTATCATATTATGCTTTTATTATTATAGATAATTGCTGGGGTCACTGCTCATTGTCATTTGTAAGCTCTAAAGGAGCCAGGGCTGGCCTGTCTCTTCATTGCTGTCTTCCCAGCACCCAGCACCCAGCACCGTGGTGTAGGCAGTAGAAGCTGTGTATGTGCTGTCTCTTTCTGCCCTGTGAGGCAACAACGAGGAAATGGCCATCCATGAGATCAGGAGGCAGGTTCTCACCAGCAGCAAATTGGCCAGTGTCTTGATCTTGGACTTCCCAGCCCCCAGAGTGTGAGACATAAACATTTATTGTTTTTTTTTTAAAAAAAAATTAAAACTATATATCTATACAGTCAATGATCCAATCCCTCCTGCCCACATAAACACACAGATTTCCCACGTGGCCTGGCTGCCCCTGCCGGAGGGAAATGCCACCCCACCCCACCCCGTCCTGCAGGGGCTGGGGGAGCAAGCACCTGCCATGCTCAGTTAGCTTTCGGAGCCTGGCCACAGAGATGATCATTATCAACAGGAACCTGTGGTGAACATCGCTCTGCTTCCTTCTCCGGTGACAGCCATCTCAGAAATCCCAGCCAAAGGCTTGTCAGGTCTTGTACTTAGAGCCAAAGTTCCCTTGTTTCCTTGTTCCAAACTCTGGGAGCCAGGTCCAGGAAGCCCAGGCTCTCCGGGAAGCCGCCTTGGTCATTTGGCAGGTCACTGAGCGGGCCAGGGGCACGCCCTGCGCTCTTGCAGGCAGCTCCCAGCCCTTGTGGGAGGGCTCCTGGAACCAGGACCTGCGCAAACAAGTGGGGAGGCCGTGCTGAGCTGCCTCCAGCTGCCTGTTTGCACCCCAGGCCCCCTTTCCTGTCCCCCCTCTGGCCAAACCTTCCAGGACTTACCCGGTGGTCCTAGCTGCTGGTCTTGGCCTGCCCAGGCCGGGAGCCCCGCAGCACAGGGCCGGCTCTGCTGCCCCTGCCGGCCCCCCAGGGCCAGAATGCCCTACGCTGGGGATGAGCCCAACGGAAAGGTGTTCCAAGACTGAGAATTTGGGGTCAACATATTCCTACTAATAAGCACTGTGACATCATCTGAGAGCTATTCTGAAAGATGTTTTGTGGTTTAGGGAAGGCCATAATTAACATGTTTAGAGTTCTGATAAAATGTGCTTCATAAGAAATGAATTAGAAATGTCTCTTAATGTTTTTGTTTTTCCTTTTTGAAGTTGGTCCCACTGTGCATAATTCCAGGGAAGGGTGATCAATTTAGAGATTTAAAAAAAGCTCAGGCAAGGATTGTTACATAAAACCACGAATAGATTTTATAAACATTATGCTATGTCTGTAAGTCAGGATGGGTTATGCTGTGCTTCAGTAAGAGATAAACTTCCAAGTCCCGGTGGCTTAGCACAGTGAAAGTTTCCTTATCCCTCAGGCCAGGGCCCACCTTGAACTATGCCAAGGGCATTGGAGATGCATGGGGTATTTTTAAAGGCCAGGCTCAGAACTGGCTGTCATCACATCTGCTCAGACCCCACAGGCCATAAGCCAGTCACACAGCTCCAAACTGCAAGAGAGGCTGGGCAGTACAGGAACCCTGGGGATTGGGCGAGCACCGACCATCCCTGCCACATTTACTAGTATTACCTACGGGCATTGTGATGAACTGCTGCCCACGAACCAAGCACCTTACCACACCTTATTTCCTCACAAAAATCCGACGAGGTGGGCGTCACTAGTCCCATTTCCTCCAGGAGGAGATGGATGCTTGCAGGTGTGGAGAAATGAACGTGAGGTTGCACTTGCAGGTTGTGTGGTGAGGGTGCTAACCAGCTCTGCCTGATCCCAAAGCCTGAATAGAATCGCCTTTCCCCTTCATTAAGACAGGTACCCGAAGGCTCTCTCATCCTCATTGCTTTGACCTTGAGGCTGTGTACACTGAGAATAGTACAAAAGCATCTCTTTAAGCAGATTTATATATATATATATTATTGATTTCAGAGAGGAAGGGAGAGGGAGAGAAACATCAATAATGAGAGAGAATTATTGACTGGCTGCCTCCTGCACGCCTGCTAGTGGGGATCAAGCCCACAACCCAGGCATGTGCCCTTGACCGGAATTGAACCCAGGACCCTTTAGACCGCAGACGAGTGACTATCCATGGAGCCAAACCAGCGAGGGCCAGGTAAGTTATTTTCCATTCCTTAAAAGGGCCTCCATTTAGAAGCCCCGACTGGGAATGGAACTTGACCTCCTGGTTCATAGGTTAAGGCTCAATCACTGAGGCCCACTGGCCGGGCCAGATATTGCGTTTTTAAAGTCCCCCCAGTGATCCTAAGGCGCAATCAATTTGAGAACCGCCAGCAAGATCGATATTTTGCCAGATATAAGCAGGGGTGTGGAGAAGTGAGGGGGGAAAACAAGACCTTCAGGAATGATTTGTTAGTTTGGCTCTAGGGCCCAACTTCCTGAGGAATTCAAATTTAATTTTCCCCCCTCATGACACCTTCAGCCAACATGAATGTCATTTAATTATTGAAAAATGTACCCAGCCCTGCATAGCGCAAGGCTGTCCGCTGGGGGCACGAGGCCTAGAATCGCTCATATGCTTTTGAAAAGCCCAGAAAGATGTTGCTTTTGTCCCAGGCTGCTGCCAACTAGCATATTTTTAAAAAGCGGCGATCCTCTAAGATATGGGTGAAGAGATAGTATTTTTATTAAATCAATATGCCACGTAGATATTCCTGAGTATAATTATGGAAAATGCCATTTTAAATTGTTCTCTTTGGACAGAGCTTTCAGTCTTTCCAAGTGAGTGCTAGGGGTCAGGCGATGGGGGTTGGGGGGGCGGTAGGGAAATGGGGAGTCCGTACCAACATCAAGAGGAAAATGAATACGATGCGGCTGTATAAGGGCCTTCAGTTCTTTACACAAACGCATCACAGGTGTGTTTTAGTCTAGCAAACTTGCAGAGAGGGAAAAGACTTGCCTCATTAAATCATTTCCTTAGAAGCTTGGAGACATTATTAGACAGAAACTGGTGTGGGGTTGTTTGTTTTCAAGAGGCATTTCCTGCCCTAACTGGTTTGGCTCAGTGGATAGAGCGTCGGTCTGCAGACTCAAGGGTCCCAAGTTCGATTCCTGTCAAGGGCATGTACCTTGGTTGCGGGATGTGCAGGAGGCAGCTGATCCATGTTTCTCTCTCGATGTTTCTAACTCTCTATCCTTCTCCCTTCCTCTCAGTAAAAAAATCAATAAAATATATATATTTTAAAAAGAGGCATTTCCTCCATCACTCTGAGGGCACTGTTTGTGTGTGTGTGGCTCTGCCCTGACTTACCTGGTGGCTCCCACTATATGCATTCTCTCTACAAAGGACCAGGAGGCACCGTGTGTCCAGCTGGCTCCTCCGTTTCCTCGAAGGTCATCGTGCTGCCGGGAGTTAGTCCCTTAGGAAACTGAGGGGTGTGGGGCCGAGTCCCTGGGACATCAGGCCAGGGCTTTCTCGTGGTGACACGATTAATACTCAATACGCACAGTGTTCTTAACTCATAGATGATTTATTGCTTTGAGTAACTAAACAAGAGACAGGCTGCTGTTTTGGTCAAGATACCAGTTGCATCTACGTTAAAAGCCTTAACGATACTTTCTGGACAATATAAACACGTGATAGCATACATGGGGAACAACGTGGCCAAGGACAGCACGGATTAAAATAGCACACGACAAGGGCACCCAACCCGCCAGGCTGCCTTGAAAGGACGGAAAGAACGCGAGCTCACACGATGTGCTGGATACAAAACCTTTAAAAAATTTTTGGCATTAACAACTAACACAGGATACTTCCTTGGACATTCTGCAAAAGCAGGTGCACGGACAGAATTAACCGCTCCATCTCTGGATTGCCAGTGTCTATGGGATGCTAGGAAAGAGCCAGGAGGTGGGGCCCTTGCCCTCCCCGGAGGTCCTTTTCTTTGCAGGGTCCTGGGCTTTAGGTGAAGAGCAGCTGATAGAGTCGCCAGGGTGCTGCAGAGACCAGCAGAGGGTGGACACTGCCCCAACAGCCTGTGGGAGTGAACCCCACACAGCCCTGGTTTGTAGCCAGAGAGGCCCACGGACTTGACTGAATGCTCCCTGGAGGCCCTGGGGGGCGGATACAGGCACTGGGTGGTCCAGACCCTCTCTCTGAGGAGTGTGGAGCCAGGGCTGGGCCTTCCACCCTGAGGTTGAGGAGAACTGACCTAACCTCTTGCATTCTAACACGGGGGCATTACGACACATTTCAAATGGCTGTGCAGGAGCCAATAGCCAGAAAGCCAGCCCTGCAGGGCCTGGGCAAGCCCACAAGTGAGGACAAGCCAAGCCAAAGGGAACACAGGGCACCTGGGCCAAGCAGCCCCACCCGGCTGCCGGCAGTGTCTCGGGGTGGCCAACTGGTCTGGCTGCAGCGCCCAACGGCTGGGACTCAGTAGTCTTCTGCTGTCTCTGCAGCCACTTCCTCAGTACCTCCCTCCCCGGCATCCTCCCCAGGACCCGAGGCCCCCTCACAGCCCCCGGCCGAGGCCCCACAGTGGCCGGCAGGGCCGTTCTGCACGGCCCCGCCCTCCACACTGAGCCGGCCATCGGGACACAGCGGCTCTCCGGTGACCTCCTGGACGGGGTCCTTCTCCTCCGAGGCCCCGTCCTCCTGCTGCTGGCCCAGCACGCAGTTTCCCACGTCTCCCGCCTTGGGAAACTGGTCTTCCAGGTTCCTGTCGTTCTCTTCGGCTTGCCGCTTGCCTCTGGCACCGAGTTTACCCTTGGATTTCCTCAGCTGCCTGCTGTGCATGTCTTCTCGGGAGAATCGCCACTGAAACTGAACACGGGAGAGGATGGAGATAAGTCAGCGCAGTCTCCGTGGACCCACAGCCTCACCTGGATGCGTCTGCATTTACATCCACGTCACTTCTCTGCAGCAAGACACACAAGTCCCCGCATTTCCGGGCTGGGGCCAATGTCAATCACAGCCCAGACACAGCACACCCACCGCGAGGGCCCGCCTGCTCCATGCTGTCCACGGGGTGTGCTTCAGAGGCCTGGGGAAGGAGGTCCTGGAATCCTATCGTTTGAACAATCAGAATGAGGCAGGGACACAGGGCCCGTGCTTCCTAAGCACCAAGGCTCTGAGCAGGCCATGGGTCACCCAGCACTGGGCTGCATTCTCTCACCTGAGCAAAGGCACAGCATGTGAGGCGCCGGCTCCCCTGCAGGACTGGCGGGCTTGCTGCCCCAGCTACGGGGTCTGCTGTCTGCTGACAGCACCCACCACCTCACTGAAGGTCACACTCCCTTCCTGGGGCAACCTACACCCAAGGTCTGGTCTGGGTGGGGCACAAGGGCCTATCCCTCCTTGCACAACGAGGGAAATTTAAAGGCCATCCCAGCTCCAGGGCGACCTGGAGGGGTGGCCGTGGCCACTGCTGAGAAAGGATCCCAGCTCAATCCCCAGCCCAGTCCTGGGCCCTGTGCTCCCCACGGGTGTTCCTGAGGGCACTTCCCTCAAACACGGCCACCATCCAGAGCCTGCTCCCCAACCTGCAACCCGACCTGCAACCAAGCATTTCCCCAAGGACCAAGGGAACATCAACATGACTCAGGTGGTGCAGTCAGTAACTGAGCTGTGCAAGGACCAGGCCTGTCCCAGCTGTGGAGCAAGACTGCATGCGCAAAGAGTCCCAACTCCACCACTCCCTGCCCCAGCTTCCCAGCCTCAGTGTCCTCATCTGTACAGTGGGGGCAGCAACCAAAACCAAGGTTGGTTACTTGGTTTTCTCAGAAAGCAAAGTCAGTCAGCTTTTCCTGCAGAAGTCAGATCATATTTTATTATTGGCTTTGCGGGCCACATGGCCACTGCCGAAACCATTAGGAAACCATTGAACTCTACCACTGCTGCAGAAAAGCAATCATAGATAACATGTAAACCGATGAGCATGACTGTGTCCAACAACCCTTCATCTGCCAAAATAGGTGGTAGGCTGTGGTATGGCAGGGTCTGCCTTCTAGGGTATTTGTGGTTCCAATGATGTGATAATCCAGGTCATGGGTTTAGCACTGTGCCTGACATCATATACCAGATACACTCGCTGTTACCATTACTGACACCAAGAGGCCAGGGAGGCCATCTGTCCTCTTTCCTCCTGCTTCCCTGGGGCAGAGCACAGTGCCTGGCACTGAGTAGGCCCTCACCCTGTTTGTGGGATAAATGAATGGGAGGACGACAGAGCCCTGCCACGCCGCCTGCACTGAGTTTCCAGCCCTGTAACTTTAGAGCCAAAACATAGCTTGGGGTTCAGTGAGGAGGACGGGTCCATCTGCACCTTACTTCTGGCTGATCTCCAAGAAGAGAAATTAGTTTAAGGAAGAAGCAGGGTGGGAAACACACAAAGTCCCGCCCGCTGAGTCTGCTGATGACATGAACGGGCCCCGGAGGCAGGCAGTGTAGCAGCCTGTACACATGGAATGAATCTGGGCAAATGAGCTTGAGCAGACATGGAAACATTGAGGGGTGTGAAAAGAAAATACCTTGGAAGGTTCAGAGAAAAGGGTCCTCGTGTTTATCAATGAGGAGTGTGTTCTGTGGGCGAACCACTCAGCAGAACTGCAGCCTTTTCCTTCTCCCCAAATATCGGGGTCCCCCGCCCCAGTCTTCCTGAGCGAAAGCCCCTCTGACCGCTATCCTCCTGGGGTGGTCAGTATCCCCCAGAATGCCTCCACCTCAGAGCTGGGGGGGCAGTCCACTCTGGGTGGGGACCCACGAAGTCAGATGCCAGCTGTGGTGCGCCCTCGGGAAGATGGCAGCCCGGGGATCTTCTGAACGCGCCAGGCCCAGTTGTGACCAGCACAAAGCACGAGAGAAACCCCCGAGGAGAGAGAGAGGTAAATGGGGGCGAGAGACAGAAGCCCCTACTGCAGGGAGTGGTCTCACCGGGAAGAAGAGAATCATGGGACTTGGCCACCCTGCAGGTGCAGCTCTGTGACCCACACAGGGGTTCAGTTTAAAGTTCCCATCACGGTCATTTCTTTCTACTTCAGTCACAGCACGTTGGCTTTGCCAAATAGGGACTTAAACCTCAGCCGTTCTGTGATTGAAAGAAGAACAAAGGGAGTCTTCCGCTCTGACGGCTTCTTGCTGGGCTGCACAGGGGAGCCCAGGAATGCAATGGCACCATCAGTGGAAAACCATTTCTTAAGGCTTTCGCACATTCATGCTAAATAACTGAGTGCCTTGCTAAGGAAAAACCAAAAGTGTGCTAATGCAAATTTTTAAGGATCTGCCACAGTTGCAGAATTTTCAGTGGTAGAGATCTATCCCTCCCCCCCCAAAAAAAAAACAAAAACAAAACACATTTGCCTCAACATCCACAGGGTCCTGAGGTTGCACACACCATGGGATCCTGGGGTCGAACACCTTTGGACAAGATTTCCCATCAAAGCAGAGAAAAGGAGCGAAGTGCATGTTGAGGTTAGGACTTAACACCTATCCTGTCCTCCTCCTCCCCACCCTCCCCCCAAACTCCCTAAGGTGGTCACCTCCCATATTGGATGGGTTTTGCTCAGATACTCCTTTGTGCAGGTTCTCTCTCTCTCTCTCTCTCTCTCTCTCTCTCTCTCTCTCTCTCTCTCTCTCTCACACACACACACACACACACACACACACACACACACACACACTATAAGCTGCTTCTACCTAAGCCACGAGTTTTTGACAATGGAACCCCTCTGCAGGCAAAGTGGTGCCTCAGACCTCCATCCTAAGAGTGCCCACGTCAGCCTAGACTGGAGCAGGCGAATCGGCTCTGTAACCACAAGTGCGGGGCGCCGACCTGGGGCCTCGGGGCCTCTGCTGCTGCTGCCGATGCCAAGCCCCTGTGGCTCTCGGGCCCAAGTACTTGCGGTTCTTAATTGCTGCCTTGTCATATGCAGCCACTGCCACTGCTTCATAATGCCAGCCCAAATGGAAGAGCCTTAGAGAAAAATCCACGTCCGCAAATAGAGCTGCGTTTTTGCATGTTTTCAGGAAAACCCCAGTGAAGCCTGCCGACTGCGAGGCAGTCGGCTAGCAGGGATGTCAGAGGAAGCTTTCCTTTTGCTAAAAAAGTGGTGATAGGTCCTACATGTTAAAACATCACAGCAGCCGAGAGCCCGGTTCAAATCCCCGTCCTGGCACTTGTTGGCTTTCTGTCCTTGGGCAAGTTATGAATTTCTCTAAGTCTCATGTTCATCATCTCTGAAAGAGTCGTCTCAGCCTCCAGGGCTGCAGTGCACACCCAGGGGCCGGGTCTCACGTGTGGGTGTGCACAGTGCCCCCTGCAGACAGATGCTCTACAACCCAGGAGCCGCCACCTTTGCCAGAGCCCATCCTTGACACTTACTGACTACCGCAAACCCAGGGGCTGCTCTTGCTAAATAAACAACAGAAGGCCTGTGTTCCTCTGGATGCCTGGCCATATCCGGATTCCAGAAGAAAACCACATTTTGCTGATCTCCTGACAGAAGACAACAGGAGGACACAGGCTGTGGGAAAGGCCTGTGGCAAGCACACCAGCCACTTTCTCCCAGAACCTGCCTGGCCTGCTGGGCTTGAGGAGGACTCAGGACTGTCAGAGCTGAGCTGGGAGGGAACTACTCCAGCCCACGTTTTCTGTCCTTCAGAGAAATCTCAGAAGTCTGCCAAGCCAAATGCCTTCTAGGGCTGCTCTGAGTTCTGTGTCCTCCGATGGGTTTGTGATGACATCACTGAATCCCCATGCTGTCTGTAGCCAGGTACCAAGTAGGCTCTGACTCGGGTCCTCCCCGTTCCTCCTCCTCTCCTTCGAGGGGACATTCTCATGGAGCAGGGACGTAGCAGTGGGAAAAACTTAAGGCCTGTAGAATCGGAAAGCTAAATGTTCTGAGCTGCAGACTGCTTGCAGGATACCTGCCCAGGAAAGAACACACACATACCAAGGTGCCTACTATGTGTCTCGGACAGTGACACAGTTTCCCATTTCCCCAGATCCCCAGAGCAATACTCTCAGTAGGCATTGTTAGAGTCAGTGTATAGATGAGCATGTAGAGGTTCAGAGAGGTTAAGTACCTTGCCTAAAGTCACACAGCTATCATAGAAATAGTAGAGCTAGAAATTCAAACATAGCTGCCTCTGGCTCCACACTACCCTTGCAGCCTCTTAAAAAAAAAAAAAAAAAAAAAAAAAAAAATATATATATATATATATATATATATATATATATATATATATATATATATTGATTTCAGAGAGAGGGAGAGAGAGAGAGAGAGAGAGAAAAAAAAAACATCAGTGATGAGAATAACCAATTAACTGCCTTCTGCATGCCCCCAAACCCAGGCATGTGCTTTGACCAGGAATTGAACCGTGACCTCCTGATTCACGGGTCAAAGTTCAACCACTGAGCCATGCCGGGGTGGAAGGCTTTGGGCTCTTGACCTAGAGAGAAGGAAGGAGGCAACACCCCCTTGGATGGCTCAGCCCAACGCTTAAGAGCCTCAGCTCTCAGACTTCACCATGTTCTGATGCATCCGCTAGGCCAGGCACTGGATCATCAGGCCGGGTGGTCAGCTAATGGAGTCTAGATTTATGGCCATTAAAGATTCTTTGGTTCAGTTTATTAAAAACAAGTATCTACACTGAAGACTCCCTGACAGGCCCATTTAAAAAAAAAAATCAATAATGATAAAATGTGGATGGAGGGCCACGGGTGAGGCTAGAAAGGGGCCTAAACGCTTCAATTAAGACACCGGCTCTCGGAGTGGAGTGGGCATCACAAGCACCGGGGGCATCCTTCAACCAGATCCCCCCCTCCCCCCCTGTGACTCTGAGGGCCTGGGGGGGTGGGGGGAACACACGACTCTGCATTTCTCAGCTCCCTGCTGGTCCAGGGGCCACGATCTAAGAATTGCCAAGCAGAGAAAGGCACGTGGGCCGAGACCCGCTGCGGGAGAAACAGCTGGGAAACAAGGACAGCCCCCAGGCTCTCCAACCCAGCCATGCCATCCACGGACTGACGGGCTCCCTCTGCCTCCCTCCCTCCCACCGTCACACCTGCCCCCTTCCCCACCCAGGCTTCTCCTCCCCCTCGTTGTCTCTAACAAACAACAAAAACTGCTCCAGGTGCCAAGGCTCAAAAAGATGCCATCTCAGAAAGCAGGAAGCGGAGAGGCAGGGATGTGCAGCCCCGGGGACCGCTTTCTGGGTGACGGCTCGGGGGGGGTGGGTTTGACACCCCCACTTAAAGGCCTAGAGGACCTTTCCATATCGTGAATGATACCAGGGAGTTGCTGAACTCCACGCACAGCCGCTGGCTGCCGGGCTGTGCCATGCCCATGCCAGTCTTCCCAAACAGGGCGTCTCTCCACGTGGGTGTGGCACTGGGGCCTGAGCCAGGGAGGATTCCACCTCGCTGTCCTTGTCAGAAATAACCGGGGGCAGGGGACGACCCTCCACCTGACAGCAGCGGTGTCCAGAGTTCTGTGCCAGGAGGGGCTGACGGATTTAATTCACACGTTTTAAAGGCTGTCGGCGACCAGCCCCCCCCGTCAGGGAGGTGAGCGGGAAGGAAGATTCTCCGGTACCACGAAACCACCTCTCACCTCTGAGGCAGTTCCATGCCACATTCACACAGAGAGGTTTCTTTCAAATGTTGAGAGGTGCCGATGAGAGGATTCTGTCCACGCTGCCGATTAAAAGACGACTGAATGTGCTTCGTCCCCGCCGTGCCCGTCTTGGGATTTTTCTTCCTAAATCTCAATGCTGGACAGAACAGGCATGTCCCCAGCCCAGAATTTTGAGTCCTCGTTCACTGGTTGTTGAATGTCACTGTCTGCCTGAGCCCATGGCTAACCTCTGTCTACCCAAGGCTGACCTCTGTCTACCCCTGACAGCAGTCCTGGCTGACCCACCTTCCCCCTTGTGGCCACGGCTCCTGGCGGTGCATGGTGGGTTTGGCAGCTGCCTCCCGGTTCTCTGCTGCTGTCACCATCACATGTGCATCAGCGCCTGGAGAGAGAGCCCTCTGCACATCAACAGGCTTCAAGGCGCCATTTCCTTGACGTTCATCTCACAAACAGGTTCCCACCTGGATTTGCTGGCTGGTGAGAACACCAATCTGTTCATTTCATTGATGCTCCTGTCCGGGCTCCGTATCCAAAGAGCACGAGGAAGCCAGGCGGCCAAACATGAAGTGCGAGCAGCCCAGCAGGCTCTGCCCGGGAACACGGCCTTGGCCATCGAAGGCGGAGCGGGCTGGCTCCCGGTGACCCTGGCTTGGGCTTTCGCAGGTTCCCTAGACTCACCTGCCTCTTCCTGAGCACCTGGTGACACACTCACGGGAAAAGCACGGGGTGTGGAGATTCAGAATCATCTGACCCAGGGAAGGACCTGGGATCGACTGCATCAAACACGGGAGATGTTGTGAGAATGGCCGGTATCTCAGCGGGACTGGGTGTCCCGGATGGTTTACGTAATGACGAGGGAGGGGAAAGGACCCTGGGCGATCGCAGGGCAGCCGGATGGGAGGGCTCACTGCCACAGGCCAAGGCTGACCTCTGTCTGCCCCAGCTGCTGCCACGCGGAGGCCTGCAGGTTGGGGCTGTCACAAAGGGGCTCTGGCCGGGTCTGTCTGCCAAGATCGCCAAACTTCTGCTGTCCCGAGGGCTCCTTGGGCAGGCCACCGGCGCTCAGCCAGCGTGCAATGAGATGAAGATGCAGAGACACGACCCGCCCTCCCACCCTCAGCTTCTGTCAGAACGCAGCTGACTGCACACCCCTCATCTCTGCCCAGGGGGACTGTCTGGCACGCTTGAGTGTCTGCAGGAACCTCTCTCGGCCGCTCTTCTAGCCCAACCAGCAGGATGCCGGCAGATGAGGCCCTCCGGTGCCCTCGCCTGTCCCGTTCTGGCAGCCTCAGGTCTGATGGGTTCGCCAAGGGGCGCAGGTGTCCTTGGGCTCAGAGCCATTAGAAATTGCAGCAGGCTGCCACCCCGTGGCTGGAGAGAACCCCCTTATGAAGCCCCCCCCTCCCCCCCCCCCCCGCTAGAGAAACCCGAGAAAGGCAGCCACGGCCACCACTCACTCACCTTGGATTCCTTCTTCTTGAGTTTCTGAGGTAGACACGGTCTCTGAAGAAAGACAATCTGCTTGGTGGATACGTTTCCCTCCCTGGAATACACCAGGGCAGAGAAGGAGTTAAGTGGTACCCGGGGGAGCCCCAGACCTCGCAGACACCGCATCCCTGACTTCAAGGCTGACCACCCGCAGACATGACAGAGAGGGGTCAGGACAAGCAGCTCCTCCTACCCCCTTACCCCCCCCCCCCCCCGCTCTCCCACCCCGGCCACCCACCCTTTCTCCTGGGGGGCCATCTCAGGCGCCCCCCAAAAACTTTTGCGAGCCCTAACTGGTTTGGCTCAGTGGATAGAGTGTCGGCCTGCAGACTCAAGGGTCCCAGGTTCGATTCCAGTCAAGGGCATGTACCTTGGTTGCAGGCACATCCCCAGTAGGGACTGTGCAAGAGGCAGCTGATCGATGTTTCTCTCTCTCTCACCGATGTTTCTAGCTCTTTAACCCTCTCCCTTCCTCTCTGTAAAAAAAAAAAATCAATAAAATATATTAAAAAGAAAAAAAACGCTTTGCGGGCATCCCTGCAAAGTCAGCCTCACATGGAGAAACGCCCTCCCCTGGATGTGAAAGAACAGCTGGCGCCGTGCCTAATGATGACAAAGTGGCTTCTTCAGCGGATCTCAGAGGGGTGGCATGCCTCTTCCAAATCCGTCTTTGGCAGCGAGGCCACGAGGGGCCGGGCCGGCCCAGGATGGGCAGGTGGATGAGGACCTGGGTGAAGACTGCCCATCGGCCGTCAGGGGGAGGGCTGGCTGCGCACAGGTCCCGGCCCAGGCTTGATTCACCCTCATGGAGGCAGGCCACGCCGGGAATGGCATTAACAAAGCCAACGAGGATGCCCAGGACTGCCGCTCATTTTTATGGCCCTGTGCATGCATTTTCCCTCCATGGAAGGCAGGACCCTGGGAGCTGCTTTTAAATCTGATAGAAATATTGTGAAGGGGATGGTTTTCTCCCTCCCTATCACTTTCTTAAATCTATTATTTTGCAAATGTTCTCTCTGCTGAGACACTGTGTCCCTACTTGGAGACCGAGGGTCAGAGGGAGATATTCATATTTCTTGTTTTACTCCGGGATTGGGCGGGGTGACCCACCCATAACGTCTCATTTAGGCCGGCACCGTGTTCCAAGGCCCGGGGCAGGCGTCTTTTTAGACAGGAAATGAAAGCTCGGCGAGGAGCAGGCTCCAGCGCAGGCAGCCAAGACTTAAGCTCGGCTCTGCCTGGTTCAACTCGGTCTCCCGCTCCGCTGTAAGGGGTCATTTAAGGCACAGGGAAGTGGAGGGTTAAGGAGTATTTGGCAGGTGTGACTCTCCAAGACAGAGACAGACAGACAGAGACCTGTCTGCACCCTTGGAGCTTAATCCAGAACCAGTGGGGCCTTCCCATTCAAAGACATGCTCCTTGTGACTCTTGCCCTCTGGCTTCTGGACCAGACTTCGTGGACTGGCACACTGACTCCTAGAAGCTACCTGGCTTGCCCCGGGAGGCAGACCCAGGACTTGGGTTCAAGTCTACAAGCCACAAACCCAGGCAGGATCCTTTCTACAGGAGCCTAGGCTGAGCAGCAATATGGTGGTTCCCAGTGGCAAGAGGTGGCTACAGACTGGCCCCTGCAGGTACACAGGCTGCCGTGTCCCAGCGTCAGGAGGGAGACACTTTGAGGGCCCAGACGAGCTTGCAGAAGGACGCAGGAAAGGCACTGAATGTCACCAACATTCGCCACCCTCAGTCTGCGCCCGGGGCCCGCACTGCCTGCCCTCCCCTCAGATCGCCAGCCCTGCCCCACACCGCTCATCACCCTGGAGTGGTGGGTGTGCAGCAGGACCGGGGCGGGCAGGGCAGGGAGGGCCATGGGCAGAAGCATCCCTATCGGGGGGCCAAGAGGTGAAGGAGAGGGGGCCCTTGATTCTTCCACTGAGGTTCTAGCCCCAGGTTCTGCCCCTTGGTGGTTGTGTGGCCTCAGGGACGTGGTTGAGCCTCTCTGAACCTCAGTTTCCTCACCTGTAAAATGGGAATCAAATCTATGCTCAGAGGAGAGTTAGGAGGACTAGTGTAGACAGCAAACCCAGATGGCAAGGCTTTTAGCACTGGGGCGACTCGGACAAGCCCGAGGCTCCAGGGGTGGCGGGCAGAGCTGGGGGTGGGCAAACCACCGCGAAGGTGAAATCGGAGGGAGTGCCACAAGCGAGGGCCCCAGCTCCCAGTTCTCGCGTGTTCTTCGTGGGGCTGCTGGCCGGCACCATGACTGTCCTTCCCCCTCCCTGGCCACACTGTCCTCAGCTGGAAAATGAGTTTAAGTTTAAAAAACCCACCTCACAGGGTCTTTGAGAATGAAAGACTTACAGACAAACTGCCTCTCCAGCCCGGCACAGGGCACATACATATAGTAGGAGCCGAGTCTCTTCGGCAGCTGAGAGCCCTGAGTCTCCTCAGTCCAGCTGGCTCATCTCTGAGCAATAGTGTTTCACCGGCCAAGGCTCCCCAATAGGAAGAGGGATGCAGTGAGAGCTCTGGGGTACGGGGTTAGGAATCCAAAATCCTAGCTCTGCCACTCGCCAGCAGGAGAGCTCATGCGGCCACACCTGCCTCCCTGGTTACGTACATGAAGCGCTAACTGGGAGCAGCGCCTGGCACAGAGCGAGAGTTCAGCCAGACCGACGGCTCTGCCGTTACCTGTTAGTCTTGACGACGGGCGTTGGCAGCACGCAGGTGAGCTGCCAGCCGTAGGCCGCCAGCGAGTTCAGCAGGGGCACGTAGTCCGTCTGCACCTCGACGCCCTGTGGGAGAAAGGCCCCCGTGAGGGGTGCTGCCGCCTCAGAAGAGGGGACCGTCCGACCGCCAACTGCATGGAGCAGAGAGAGGCCCTGGCTCTGACGAGTTCAGAGCCCAACTGCCAACCCGGGCCTCTCCTGGCTCCGTTTCAGCCCCCATAGTTGGCAGGGAACGAGCGCCAAAGGATTCTCCCATTAATTTTGCTTTATTCTCATTTCATGGGGGGAGCGCAGTCACCTCGCCTCAAAGACGGATTCGGGGCATATGACAACACACGCTGATCCGGATGATCTCAGAGCGTGTCGCAGGGAGTGAAGTTACAGTGACAAACGATCAAGCCATTTGCATCCAGACACACACACACACACACACACACACACACACACACACACCTGTGCTCTGCAGCCTGCCATCAAGGGGTGCATGGATGCCAGCCCATGTTTTATTATAAAATCAGGATGGGGGGTTGGGAGACTAGCCTTTGAATTTTTATTTGTACTTTGTTTTTGCCTGAGTTTAAAAACCCAGTCCTGCTCCCACGGAGAGAGAACCCCAGTGTGAAGACAGCCTGGGTCCCCTGCATCCGGCCAAGCTTCTTATCCCAGCTCCTTGCTAACGCTGAAGGGCAGGCCCACCCTGGCCTGCATCTACACAGGCCTCCTGATCTCTGTTAGGTTGGCTTCTGAGTGTCTCTTCCAGTCGAGGCAGCCACGAGGAGTCATTCTGCTAGTATTAGGAGCAATGTGGATGGAGGCCCCGTCCTGCGCTGGAGTTCCCAGTCCCACAGAGGCAGCAGCACAGACACCCACGAAACCAGAATACAAAGGGCCCGTTGGCAGGGCCGTGAGGCTTCGGAGGTCCGCAGGAGAGGAAGGACGTGGGCCATGCCCAAGGCAGGCTTCCCGGGACTCGGGGCTGGGCCCAGGGAACCCGGGGGGGAGCTCCACACGAAAGACCAAGCCTGGCATGGATCCCCGAGGAGGGAGGGCTTCACTGAGGGCCATCCTGGCCAGGGGCTGTCTGGCTGGGGGTCTTTTTGGGAACAGAACCAGCTCGCCTGGCGGCCCTGGGCAGGAGGAGTGGAAGGCAGATGAGGGGACAACCAGCTCTGCCTCATCAAATGGCTTTTAAAGCTCCTGTCATGGAGCATCCGTCCCAGCGTGGCGACAGTCACCTGGTCAGCTGGCAGCGAATTTATCAGTTTCTTCAACTGGATCACCTAAGCCCTGGCCTATGTCAGTGGTTCTCATTGTCCTCCCCGGGCCAGCAGCATCAGCAACGCCTGGGAGCTACTATACAGATCTTGTAACAGAGAAACCCACACCTGACCCTCTATGATCATGCTATTCAATGTCACCCCAATCAATACAAAAGAAAGAAAGAAAGGAAGGAAGGAAGGAAGGAAGGAAGGAAGGAAGGAAGGAAGGAAGGAAGGAAGGAAGGGAGGGAGGGAGGGAGGGAGGGAGGGAGGGAGGGAGGGAGGGAGGGAGGGAGGGAGGGAGGGAGGGAGGCAGGCAGGCAGGCAGGCAGGCAGGCAGACATGCAGAGTCTTGGGACCCAACCCAGACCAAGCAGACCAGTCAGTCTGGGCAGGGCCCGGAAATCGGTGTTCAGGTCCTCCCCAGAGTTCTGAGGCAGCGTCGCTGGAGAAGCTCTGCCTGCGTCACCCACTAGGTCTTTGCTGTGACAGTCTGCGATGCTGCCACTCACACCTTGCCTTCCCATCCTTCTCCACGTGAGGAGAATGAGAAGTGGGACTTCTACAGGAACAGCATTGGTAAAAGGGAATGGAGGGGAGGAAGGAAGGGAGGGAGAACCGAAACCGGTTTGGCTCAGTGGATAGAGCATTGGCCTGTGGACTGAAAGGTCCCAGGTTCGATTCCAGTCAAGGGCATGTACCTTGGTTGCGGGCACATCCCCAGTAGGGGGTGTGCAGGAGGCAGCTGATCGATGTTTCTCTCTCATCGATGTTTCTAACTCTCTCTCTCCCTTCCTCTCTGTAAAAAAATCAATAAAATATATTTAAAAAAAAGAAGGGGAGGGAGAAAAGAAGGAAGGAGAGAGGAAGGGGGAGGAGGAGGAGGAGAAAAGGAAGTTACAGGAGGGGGAGTAGGAAGGGGAGGAGGGAGAGGAGGAGAACTCGGTAAGGGAATAACCAATTTATTTATGGGTCAGGAGTAGAGGGGCCCTATTCTGGCCCTTGAAGCCCCACTCAGGTCAGAGATGACAGCAAATCACACTTCCCCTCTTCCCCCTTCTGCCTGACCCCCTGGACACAAAGAGACCTGCCTTCCAGACCAGCACTGGCCAACATCCCTCATGCTGGGCACCAGCTGGGGCTGCCTCACCCTGAGGACCCCTGCCCCCAGCCCTGCACACCCCCTCTCCCCCCTCCTGCAAAGAGAGTTCCGGCCACACTCTGGAGCTCTGCGAGGTTATGATTACTCGGGCCTATCAAGAATAACCTTCCCACTTCATCAGACGCGGTGACAAACCCTCCACAATCAGACAGTAGCCATGGCAACCAGGACAAGCTTTGGCGCCTCACAAAGCCCTACACGGTGGAACGGAGTCCTTTTATTGGGGATGTGCCCAGGCCGGGTTTTCGCCGCTGGCACCCCTGACCTGCCTGCTCAGACGGGCCTCGCAGGGGCTGCTTGTGCGCTTTGCTCGGGTTTTATTGCATTTTGTCACCACATGAAAGAGAAAGACCGCAGGACTTCTCCCAAACAGTTTCCCCCCCTCCGGGTAGGGGACAGCAGCCAGAAAGGACAGAATCATAAAGACCCAAAGGAAACGGAGGAAAACACAACAAAACCCAGAGGTGGCTGGCGAGCGCCCAGGGTTCAATCTCAAGTGTTAATATCTGGCTGTCACACGGTGGGCTGAAAAGCAAAACACACACGGCAGGGGGTGAGGTGTTACTCTCCGCCAGGCTCTGCCACGCCTGGGAGACTGCCGGGGCCGGCCCGGATTAATTAACGTGCAGTGTGGTTTGCCACGGCATCTATCAAAGCGACGGGCGTTTCTAAAATAGGGCACGAGCCCCAGGCAGGCCGTGGAAGGCGCTCCCGAGTCCATTAGCTGAGAAGATGACAGGGAACCTGTGTGGAGGGAAGGGTCTCTTTGATCTGCTTTTCCGCGACGCTCCAGCGCGAACACAAATGCACAGACAACACTCCAAAGCCAGCCCAGTTCACGGAATGAAAAGGCGCTGCTTTCCGGGAGTGGGAGCAACCATTTTCATTAACTCTCCACTCTCCTGGATGGATGTGAGATCTCTCATCACACCTCGAGTTAAAAAAAAAAAAAAAAAAAAAAAAAAAGGACCCTGATTTGTGGAAAAAGGGACTTCATTTGTTTTTATGGCTTTTTTTTTTTTTTTTTTTCCCTTCACTCCCTATAATTTCTCTGGCAACGGAGTGCAGTTTATGAAGAAATGCATTTGTCTTTTTTGATTAGTTTTTGAAGATCCTCTAAGCAGCCAAGTAAGGAGGAGGGGAACACATGGGTCCAGTGAGGACATTTGTGCCCTGAATGTCAGTGGCTCGTCCCTTTTCTCCCATTTATGGGAGCGAACTGGGAGAAAAGCAGCCTAAGAGAGAAGACTCTGCTCCTTATATGTGGCTGTAAATGAAGAGAGGAATTCAGTTTCCCATATCTGAACAGTGTGTGGGACCAGCTCTGGGCTGGCCTTTGTACCCAAGCTGGGGACTGTCCGCCTCTGTTCTGACCGCCATGGGAGGGGGCCCCTGGTTTTTACCGTGGGCACCTTTCAGAAAGGGCCCTGAAAAAACACACATGGGCCTTTTGTAAATCTCTACCCAATCGCGAATGGCCAACACTGCATTTGCACGATGGCTTCTTTACCTACCAATTTTAGATATCGTTTTATGTCCTACCCTGGAAAACAAAGGCTTATTGCTCCCATACACATTTCTCCCATACTTCCTTTCTCTTGGTGCCACAAATGGTTAGATGGACTTTTAATGAACCAAGAGTAGGTATTTAGGTTACTACGACTTTGCAAATATTGCTGAATTTGAGCTGGTTAAGTAATGCACTGTGACCATGCCTTCCTTTTTTAGATAATCTTTTTCTTTTTCCTAGAGTTAATCATGACCTCAATGCTTGCTTGTTTGTTTGTTTTTCATCTGCTTGGTTGTACAGCAACCTCTCTCTAATTTATTCCACGTGCTCCAACACCTCTACTTTATGCCCATCAACAACTCCCGAATGCCTAAATATATTAGCTCCATTTCCCCCCATCGGAGGCATCCTTACTGAGTTCTTTGCAGCCCTGCTCCAACCTGCTCTGGATGCTTTCCATGCCTGTATTTTCTTTCTTGGCTTCCTCCGCATTTTGCTGGAGCACATCCTGTAGTGGCTCTCTGGGAATAATGCCCTGAAAGTCATTTGAGTCCCTGCACTCCTAATAAGGTCTTTGTCCTCACCCTTAATTAACAGTTTGGGTATAGAAGTCCGGGATGAAGTCCTTATTGCCACTAACATTTTCCAAGTATTGTTCCACTGGCTTCTAGATTTGCACAACTGCTCTGGTGATATCTGTTTTGATGACTAAATCTTTTGAGTGTAACCTGTTGTGTTGCTTGGAGGATTATTTCCCCCCATGAAGTTCCAGGATTTCACAATGTGCCTGGGTGTGGGTGTTGTTCACTCACAGGGCTATACACTTGATGGCTTTGCAATCTGAGGATCCTCGTCCTTTGGTTCTGAAATATGTTCTTTCCCCACCCTCCGCCCCTTTGATAATTTTTCTCTTTCATTTTCTGTTTTCTTTCTTTCTGGACTTCTTATTAGTCAAAATGTAGGGTTGATATTTTCATACTATTACTCCTATATTTTCTTACTCTGTCTTTTTTATTTTACCTCCTGGAAGGTTTCCTTCATTTTATAGCTTTTTCATTATGTTTTTAAATTCCCTCTTGCCCCAAAAGACACAATAGCTCTTTCTTGGCTTTTGACTTTGTTTTTATGTTATGTT